GTCAAGCCAGTTGGCCATTCTGCGTGTAGCCCATCCGTTTGGTGTTCCACCGCAACTAGTAGCTGACTGAAAAGGCTGAAAATGAGCTAAGTTCATAACCTTCCATGTGAAGTGATTAAGAAGGCTTAATTGAGAATTCATGTTAACTTTACACAGCTATTCCAGAGGAAGAAATCTCTTGATTGTGGTAGAATTCTTCCCAAAGTGGCCTCAAATGTTTTTAGTTTCATCTCTAACTTCTGCTGCTAAGTGCTAGTTATTTACAGTAAACAGATATCCAGCTACTGCTATTTATGATAATGGGCTCTTATCTGAGTTTAAAGACCTTATCAACAGGTATTGTAAGCAGGCTGCCAGTCCATATGCCTTCATAAGGAATTCAGGCTGAATGGATGGCCCTGGCATCTGATAATGACCTAAGGCACACTGAGGGAGAAGACCGTTGCTCAGTGAGCTCTGTTGGTGCCCCAAACAGGAGTCAGCTGTGACTGCTCAATATTAATTGGGGCAATAGCTCAAAATAAATCTGTCTCTACTTAAACTTACGGATTTGTAAGATCATCTTGCATCTAACAATAGTTATCATTGGTTGAATGCCTACCATTTTCCAGGCTCTGTGTTAAGGCCTTTGTGTATATTAACACATTAAAATTATCATAACAATCACGTAGTAATAATAATGACTAACATTTACTGAACCATCACTGCATGCCAGGCCATACTGACAGATTTATGTAGTCTCATCTATTTGACTGTTTGACATGGCTATTACTATTATTTTTTTCCTAACAAATGAGGAAACTGGGCTAGGGTCAGGGTAGGAAACGTGAGGCTGTCACATAGTCAATAACTGAGATCTCCCTCCAGGTCTTGTGCTTCCAACCACTACACAAATGGCTTGCTGTAAGGAGATGGACTGATCACTACCATTTTACCAATGAGGGAACTGCATGTACGCTGTTCAAGGCCACACTATGGGATAATGGTAAAAAGTGTAATGAGAACTTTGTTGTGTCTCTCCCCACAAGATTGTTCTTCCTGTTCTACACAGCTCTGATTGTATATGCTCTTCAGTAATTGGCAAACAAAGTTTAAACTCTGTTAGAAATTACAGAGTAGGAAAAAATATGGGTTCTGCTCCTATAAATGAAATCATGGCACCTGAATTACGCAAGGTTGAGCTCCAAGATAGGCCAGCAAGTCATTCCCACCTGATCAGCTGAGAAGGTCTTCCCTGAAGGCAGGGCTTGATCTTGGCAGAGCCATTAGAAGCATTTCCTTTGGATAACATACTTTTCTTTAAACTGTTCTAAATTTTCTAAATTTTCTACGAAGAGCATGCATGTAAATGTTCACAGACAAAACATGAATGCATTCTCATGTTAAAACATTCAACATCACAAAGCCCTTCTCTTAAACTCTCACCTTCTCCTCCTCTATTCCAATCTCCTCTCCAGAGGTATGAATTTTAGTATGAGTTCCTATAGCCCTGAACTACTCTATACGAAAGTTACTACCCACAGGTTGGAAGTTACTACCCACATGTGGCCATTGAGCACCTGAAATGTCCTAGTTGAGATGTGCTGTTAGCATAAAATATACACCAGATTTTTAAATTTAGTATAAAGGAAGAATGTAAATATCTCATACAATTTTTATATCAATTACACATTGAAATGAGAAATTATAGACAGTAAAAAGATCAGTGGTTGCCAGGGATTAAGTGGGGTGGGGAGGGATGAATAGGCAGAACACAGGATTTTCAGGGCAGTGAAATTACTCTGTATGATACTATAATGATGAATATATGTCATTACACATTTGTTCAAACTCATAGAGGTACAGCACCAAGAGTGAGCCATAATGTAAACTATGGACTTGGGTGAGAACGACATGTTAATGTAGGTTCATCAATTAAAACAAATGGACTGCTCTGGTGAGGGATGTTGATCATGGGGAAGATGATGCAGGTGTGGGGGCATGGGGTTCATAGGAAGTTTCTACCTCTTGCTCAATTTTGCTGTGCACCTAAAATTGCTCTAAAAATAGTCTTAAGAAAAATGAATATACTGGGTTAAATAAAATACATTATTAAATTAATTTCACCTGTTTCTTTTCATTTTTTAAATGTAGCTGCTAAAAATGTGGCTCACATATTTCTATTAGATAGCACTGCTCTAGAGTCTAGATCATTTTTGGTGTACTTATACATGCATATTTAAGAAACATATATATATTTTGGTGCTTTGTAACATAAATATGCATTACTCTTAGGCTTGTATTAATTTTTTTAAGTCAAATTTTTAAAGGCAGTGGACATTACATTAATTCTTTTCTTCTTCATTTCTCTTCCTCCTCTTCTTCCTCTTCCTCCACATCTCCCTTTTATACTTAACAACCCACAAAGCCTTAGAGTGAAGAAAGCAAGAATTATTCCTGGTCATACACATGCCGAGGTGAGCATACCTAATATTTGAGTTAAATCAGCACAGGCACAGGTTAACTAAAGGGTATCTATTCCCTTGTTGGATGAAAGAAGGAGCTAGTCAATGAAGAAGGCTTCGGCATTATTGAGTCCTAGCCAAAAGACCTATAAGATACTAGCAAAAATGACTAGCAATTATTTTCTAAATAATAGATCCAAATGTTCTATTCTTATCATATCATCTCTTTTTCTCAGACATTTTCTACAATAGGCACAATCCCATTACTGTCTATTGAGGAAAAGCACCTATTGCTTCAGTTCGATGAACATTGCCCATAATGTGCCGCATCAGAACACCTTCTCATTTCAGCTACTGAATTCTGCTAGCTGCTGTAAATAAATGCTGATGCATGTTACCTACATAATTACTACTTTGCTAAATTCTAACTAAAGTCACTTTTAAAATATTTTATAATGCATCTAATTGATTTTATTCTAAGTAAATACCTGATAATGTCCAGTTCAGTGGATAATGCAAAAGAAATGACCCCAAACAAGCTCCTGCTATCCCCTGCCCCCTGCTTTAAAAAATGGCGAAACATACGTAATTTACACTGACTGCATTTGTGTAAGTGATGAACTGGTGGCATGTACACATGCAGCACATTCTTTTGTTGGGCAGGAAGGGTGTTTATTGTGTTCTAGCAAGTCATTAGCACATGCAAAACATTAGCAGCTCTTACTTGGCCTCAGTGCAGAGCCTCCTTGAGGGCAATGGAGAGAAAAAGAACATTAGCATGAGTCAAGGTGCCCTGATGACTCATAATTTTCATTCCTGTGAGTGCCCCTTGATGTTCTGTCCCATTTGAGTCCTTTTGGTTACATGCTGCCTAGATAGAGAACTGCAACTCAAATCCTGTTTATTCCTTTGCCTACTCATTGCTGCTTCAAGACAAGATTCCCAAGGGGTAAGATGGAATACCGGACAGGGATCTCTGCAATATTCTTCTAGCTGGTAATTCTCCCAGTCCAACAAACCAAGTTTTCCTTAAGCAGATTCCATGGGAACTGTTTTAAATGCTCCATATAATAAGACATTTAAAAAATGTTTCTTTTCCCCTCCCCCATTCCTTACCATCTTTTTCTTTTATTCAAGAAAGAATAAAGAGAAACAAAAACTAGAATACAGAGATTTTCAACTTTTTATAAGGTGCTGTATATCACTGTATTTAAGACAATCTTTTGAAATGTAAAAAAAATTCCCCCTGAATTAGGATTGACCTCATCTGAGTAGATACCATCTGCTGTAACAGCCCAACCCTGTCCCCTCAGGTCTTGGCAGCTAAAGGTGAGTAGGGCCCCCCTCCTTTCCCATACCCCTGCCTGAGAAACTGCCAGGAAGCTCTCAGGCAGCATCAGCAGCAGGCAGGAAGTGGGGTGGGAGTGAAGGGTCTCCACCCATTAGCAGCTGCTTACGCAGTAGGCAGGGGAACTTTCCTACAGAAAGATCCAGGTCAGCAGATACTCCAAACCAATTTCTACCACATGCTACCCAGTTGTGGAATTAAATTAAAATGTTAAGAAGAAACCTCGGATGCCAATCCCCTTGTTTTCCTCCTACCTTGTGCCTGGCACCCAAAAGAATAAAACAAGAACAGTTGGATTTGGCAGTTGAAAGGGAATTCTTAGGTAACTGGAAGGAAGTGAAGGCAGCACACACCAAGGAACGCTGTCTGCACGAAACGTCATGTACCAATGATGAAAGGTCAAGACCCATCATTGTCCAAGCGCTCATTCAGATTCAACCAAAGGACAAGTTTGACAGATTATCCAAATCTTTCAGGGCGGGTGGTGGGTGTAGTGGGGAAAGGATTGAGGTCATTTTTATAAAAAGACTCAGTTTTTTTTTTAAAAAAGCAAAATAATGTTATCACCTCAGTGGTTTAGCTATAGTCCATTCTAGAGCAATTGAAAAGAAGTTTTGCCAGCAGCTGGGAGAATATTTCCGAATAAGTCATTTCAGATTACATTAGAGCTCTAAAATAAAAATGAATAAACAAGTGTTTGTCCATTAGATCTCAGTGCATTTTTGTTAACACTTTAATTGCAGGAGATATTTGATGCTTTCTTATGCTATTTCCTTAACAGTGATTTACTATGGCTTTAATAAGTGGATAAAAGTTGGGTCCATTGTTTCACATGCATACTTAAAAATAAGTTTTTATGGCCAGGCGTGGTGGCTCATGCCTATAATCCCAGCACTTTGGAAGGCCAAGGCAGGTGGATCACCTGAAGTCAGGAGTTCGAGACCAGCCTGACCAACATGGAGAAACCCTGTCTCTACAAAAAATATACAAAATTAGCTGGGCATGGTGATGCATGCCTGTAATCCCAGCTACTTGGGAGGCTGAGGCAGGAGAATAGCTTGAACCCTGGAGGTGGAGGTTGCGGTGAGCCGAGATCGTACCATTGCACTCCAGTCTGGGCAACAAGAGCAAAACTCTATCTCAAAATACATAAATAAGTAAATAAGTTTTTACATGCCTTCAACAATAGAAAAACATTAAATGGTTACCTCTGCAAATGTGTTCCGATTTGCTTGCAAGCCAACTTTTACTACCTCAAAAGGGTTAACTACAACGGCTTCTGTTAGTCCAGATCCCAATCCAGCAATGGCGAATGTCTAGAAAAAGTAAATCAATCAATACTTTAAAACAAGTTATCATGTGTATGGGGTTAAACATCCTATTCATTATGCTATGCAGCTGAACATTATAAAGAGAATGGAGAAACCTACATAAATGCACCATATTCCATTACTAAACAGCTTTAGTTCTTGATTAGATGCTGACAATTCATGAAGAAGAAATTACAGAAGCCACAAACCACATCCTAACAATTTCAAAATAAAATGTCAAAGCCCCATCAACAACGACTTTTTCCTTCAACAAAAAGCAAGGTTGCTTTACTGATTTAAAGGTGGATACTAAAACATCTGCACATATAACAATTAAGAAAATTTGAATTGTAAAATGAGAGCTTCATTTTTAAACATCTACTTAAATTCCTTTATTGGGCATATAAGAAATTCAAGGAGCAGAACCACAAATAAACTGTTTCTAAAAAGCTAAATTTCAGGTAACAACATAGCTGGAAACATTTAACCCTATGTTCATATTTTTAGAGTCACTATTCTGGACTATTAACAAACAAACATTATTTTTTATTCATCTTTTCCCTATTTTAAAAAACACTGGCAATTAACGCAGTCTTCTAAACCTAAAAGCTGAGATCAGAAATGGCTAGATGTGCACCCACAGTCCCAGCTGCTTGGGAGCTGAAGTGGGAGGATCACTTGAGCCTAAGAGTTCAAGGCTGCAGTGAGCTATGATTGAACAACTGTACTCCAACCTGAACGACAGGGTGAGATCCTGTCTCAAAAAAAAAAAAAAAAAAAAAAAAAGAAGAAGAAGAAGAAGAAGAGGAAGAAGAAGAAAAGAAAAGAAGGACAAAGACAAAGAAATGACTAGATTATTCTGAAGGGCTCAAATAAAATCTAGAAAACTTATCAAAAGGTGACTGTATGTCAAGTTCTTGTTCGGTATCTGTTAAGAATTTCTGCAATAGGAAAGAACAATTTCCTAGAATTTACCTCTAGGTAGAATACTTATGTGTTTTCCAGAAAATCTGTATCAAAAATAAACACAACAATTAAAACATACACACACAAGACAGAACAAAATGAAACAAAGCCCCAATCTCCAAAACAGATGCTTGAAAAAAAGTAATTATTTAGTGCTGAACCTCCAATTCCAGGACAAGAGGCAGTACTGTAGACAACAAAGAGAAGAATAAAACCATTGAAGAGTAAATAACAGATAACTCTTGGCAATGGGCTCTAATATCTTCTAAAAAGGAGAGGAAGGAGGGAGAAAGGAATATTTTATAAAAGAGAGGAAGGAGGGAGAAAGGAATGTTGTGTAACCTTAAAAAGGGAGGCACAAAGGCAGGATCCAGAGGCAGGAGGTCTGGGTTTAGGTCCAATTCTAGCACTTATTGGCTGTGTGACTAGAGCTGTAACACACAGTAGCTTGTGCAGAGACAAAGGTGCCCAACCAAGGATGCTAGGAGGCCAGAATCCAGCTTGCCCCTCACTTGCTAAGAGAAGCCCTGGAGAGGCATCCGTTGGGAGAAGGGGCACCTTTTCATTATTCACACAAAGGTGCCATGGGTGCTAGTTGTGGCTCTATTGTATACATCGCTGAATCTCTGATGAGCCACAGTTTTCTCATCTGTAAAATGGAGATAATAATAACTAATTTCCCTGCTTATAAAGTTATTTTAAGGCTCAAAATAATGTGTGAAACCATTTCATAGAGTGTAATGCAAACACCATTGGTCTTGTTGCACATAAAAAAGGAAGAACGGGCTGGGGCAATGGCTCACGCCTGTAATCCCAGCACTTTGGGAGGCCAAGTTGGGTGGATCACCTGAGGTCAGAAGTTCAAGACCAGCCTGGCCAACACAGTGAAACCCCATCTCTACTAAAAATACAAAAATTAACTGGGCTTGGTGGTGTATACCTGTAATCCTAGCTACTAGGGAGGCTGAAGCAGGAGAATCACTGGAACCTGGCAGGCAGAGGTTGCAGTGAGCTATCATGACACTGCACTCTAGCCTGAGCGACAGATTGAGACTCCGTAAAAAAAAAAGAAAGAGAGAAAGAAAGAAAGAAGAAAGAAAAAAAGAAAGAAAGAAAGGGAAAGAAAGAAAGAAATCGCATACAGATTCTAGGAGAGAGAGAGACTCATTGATGATGTTTCCATTTTATCTCCCTTCATTACAGTTTTAAGCATATGTGTATAGGGTAACTGATCAAATATTTTATTTATTTATCTCAGACTTCCATCATGGAAGCCAGAAGTGGAAAAAAAATACTAGTCCCAAACTCTTTTGACTGGGAAAGCTAAAATCCAGATGTCCAGGTTTTTATTACTTACTATATGCGATCTTCCAAGTAATTCACTTTTTTGTTCTTCTATAAAATTCAGCTACATTTGCTGTCAGAACTAGTGTTCAGCAGTCCCTTGTCAAAATAATTGATCAGATATCAGCAGATCATGTTACATAGGTTGTTCCAGAAACCTACATTTACTGTTGGGTTTCCAGCCTCCTAGGCTTTTCATGTGAGAGCACCAGGGGACACTTAACAGCTGTTTAAATGTCTAGCCATATCAAAAAAAGTAACTGAAATAAATGAGCTCAAGAAAAGAGAAGAACTAACTGTACACAGTTGGCATGCATTTGTTTATAGTAGCTGCAGTGACCAAACGCTTTTCTGTTTCAATTCTCAAGAGTCCAAAGACCTACAGTCTCTCACATGGTACCAATGTTTGACACAAGAACAGCCAGCTGGCCCTCTGGAGACCATCTTTTATTGTTTCTCACTAGGAAATTTTTAATTCTCTTTTTGCCAAGCTGTTTCCAAATTTAAGAATGATATTAAGAGAAGATGCCAAAGAATTAAAAGGAAAAAATCCTAGCTAGTTTCAAGATTCATGGTATCACTGCTCCCTCCTCTCTAGGAGGCCATGTCTCCCAGCCACCTTGTATAGGCAAGGACTGTACAAGACATTGCTTTGTCATAACAAAAAGTGATGCTATTAGTTTTCCTAACAGGATCTTTCCTAGAAAAGGGGCATGTATGATTTTTAAAAAATAACAGATACTTCTTCTTGGACAGTCTATTTGAGAATTTGAGAATACAAATTCTCAAATATTGTCCATTTTAGTGGGCAAATGAGGGCATTTTCCTAGAGACTGGAGTACACTGCCAATTGGAGGGCCAATGCAGATTTTGTTTTGCTTTTCTTTGCGGACTTGGAAGGAGAAGTTAATGCATTTACTCTCTTGGGGGCTCTTGTTGCACACACATTTGTAGAACCCATTTGGTCAATACAATTAACTCCTGTGAAAAGCAGGAAAGTCACCAAGAAGGAGGGGAATGGCATAGGGAAATGTTCAAATCACCAAGTGAATTTTGTGTGATACATGAGATATGTCATTGAACTATCACATTTCTCCTTAGTTGAGTTGTTTACAGTCATTCCTATAAAAGTCCCTTCAGTCTGCATCTGACCACAGAATGATTTCATCCCAAGGGATCTGAAGTCTTACATTTACTACAGCTGGTGCAAAAGCTGGAAAAGTGACCTGGCACTTGGCATGTTGACTTTTGCATAGATATATGCAGTATGTATGTAAACATATGCATGTCTTGGTTTAAAAAGAGTCTTTGATAAATGTACTCTTTATTTCATGTTCTTGACCATATCTCATATGGGGCCTTTCCAGACATATCATTATTATCATAAATTCATCACTGGGAGCTATAAAATAGCCAAATTGTGAGTTATTAGGAAGATGGCTTTCAACAAGTAGCTGAACATTGAATAACTTGAATTCATATTTTAGTAGCTGGGCTTGGGAATCAAAAGAGTTTTTGTTTCTAGATTTTGCTTTATGAAATAACACATACATTTAAGTATAATAAATACTCTCACTTACCAATGCTGGTGACAGTGACACATATCCCAGCAATTTCTTGTACTGCTCAAAGGTGAAAAACTGTGAAACAAAACCAAACTCACAGATTTATAACAATTTTCCTGCAACAAACTCTTTAATTGACTCAAATTTCTTTAGTAAATCATTATGTTAACCAGCATTTCAAAAAATGATAAACTATCTAATACAGTTTTTAATCCTGTCTCGGGTAGTTGCTATTGGAACTTTCTTTAACATTCACAGTTTCAAATGCAGTTATAATAACCTACAGAAGAGCTGATGAAATCCTTTAGAGCAGTAAATGAACCATACAACTTCCATTTACCATGACCATTTTCAGTTTCCCCAGACATCAATAGACTTCTCTCTTATGGCAGTGATTCAACATTATAGGCCTAGAGACCTGACATCTTTGGTCTCCTATGTTTTCTCTATGAACTGCTTTCCCAGTGAAAGCCCAATTTTCTAACACACTTGTAAAAGACATCCACTTTTCAGTGTTAACTTGCATTTCTATTTTGGTATCTCCCCACTGCTCCATGGAATTGAAAACACTAAATAATTATGAAGATGCCACGATAAACTAGGGAAGAACCCAATGAGGTTATCTAGTCCATCCCCTGCCATAAAGCAAGACTGTCCTCAACCTGAACGAAGAAAGCAAGCTGCTAATTCCTTCCTTCAAAACTGATGGTGATGATGATGGTGAAGGTATTTTTGGTTTCTTCAGTAGATAATGTTTAGTATAATTTTCTCTGCAAACAAATTTCAGTGGAGGCGAATCTAATCAATTGCTTCATATAATACATTTCCCCCCTTTTTTCTTCCTGTATTCTACTTTTTGAGCAACAACTCTGCTTGAACATGTTTTGCTCCTGGGTAGCACGTTCAGGTAGCTGTCAACACCACTGATAAGGCACGTTTTTAGGTCCTGCTCGAGTCTGATTCTCAAGACCCCAAAAATGGTATGGGTATTATATGGTCCCCAATATTTTCTACTCCATTACTTTATAGCCCAGTAAAATGGGGCTAGAAAGCAAAACCAGATTTCAGAGCCAAAAATACTCTGTTGTTAGGAAGAAGTAGCTCCTTATAGATGGCTTCAATGAGTGTTTGGGCAGCCCAAGAATCATTTTACTACCTGATAAATTTTGATTCTTTTCAACACTCAGGAACTACTTTTGTACCATGGTCTTTTAAATGCACTATGAATATAGCGTTTTCTAGAACAGGGATTCATTCATTCACTCATTTAATAATGTTATTAGAGACCTCCTATTCTAGGTACCGGGGATGCAATGGTAAACAAAGAGAAACCTCTGCCTACTTGAGCTAACATTCTAGTGGCTAGTGAAAGCCCTGAAACTACCCTGGTGTTAAAATAGTACTCAACAGCGACCACCTGGGACCACCGCATTTTTGATGAAACCATTAACCACTAGAAACCATTAACCATGGAAGGAAAAGTGTTATAATCTTAGGTTTTAAAAATAATTTATTTTTCTTCATTTTTATGATCATCATCATCATCACTTTGAGAATCACGTTGCTGGCATTTTGAAGTCAGCAGTCCTAGAGCTGAATCCGGGTTACGCTGTTTAGCTGTGAAAGCACAGGAAAGCTGCTTAACCTTTCTAACTCTCAAGACCTCAAAACTTACCTTTTAGATTATCATTAAATAAGATAATTTAAGTAAGATTCCCTGACAGGACTGGTACAAGTGAGACTTTTGAAAAATCTTAGTTTTTATTCCCTGTAACTTTGGTAACCTAGGTTACCAAAGGAATCATAGAGGCCTTAAGTATATGAGCACTCCTCTCAATGCCCTGGGGCTGCTGAAGCTTTCCGGTCTGGCTGGTGGGAGCAGGCACTATTCCCAGCTGCATGTGACTGCTAAGCACTGTTCCCTCGAAGCCTTTTGGGTGATTCTTTCCCAGGCATTGGTAGTTTCCTCCCAGGCATGCACTGGTCAATACTCAGCTGAAAACTTGGAGAGGTCCTTCTACAGATCTCAGTTCTATCTCTGTGCAGCCTGCTCTTCCCTGGTACTCTGTCCTGTGGACTTTGGCTGCCCTGCTCTCCCCTGGCTTTCAGCTCCTACCCAACCCAGGGAGTCCCCTGGGCTCTGCCTCAGTTTCCCCTCCCTGTCCCAGGGCCTGAAAGTATCCCAAGGCAGTAAGCTGTGGCATCACAGGGCTCATTTCATTTGTTTTCCATTTCTCATGTATTTCGAGCCTTCATCATCTGATGTCCAGTGTCTTGAAAACTGTTATTTCATACTGGTCCCTGTTACTCTGTCTCCACCAGGAGTGGAAGTCTTGGCCCTCCAGATACTCTGAATAGTAGATGTGGGAATTTTCTCTCTATGTATATTTCTTTGTTTCTTTCTTTAAGTTTTCTTTGTTTCTTTTTATACATGTTTCCTTTACTCATCTAATATCAACTGAACATCTACTATGTGTAGATACTGTGATTGGGATAGGTATACCGTAGTGAACAAATTAGCCTTCATAGTTTATAATCCCTTGTGAATTTAGTTAGCATAAGGAAGTCCTTGAGAAAACTGCACATGGGAAAAGTGGTATTTCTGCATGTGTGAAGCTCAAGACTGGACCCTGAAGCCTGAACCACGGTGCCACCCATCTCTGAGGGATCAGCTGGTCTCTCTGAAGTCTTCATTTCCTTTTGCTAACTACAATACTAACTCTGTCTAATTTGTGAAAGGAGAAGTTACACTTATTTAGCATCAGTAAGTCTTATTATTTTAATGATAAAGCTCATTTCAAATAATAAAGTACATAAAACTTAAGATTGTCTGTTTCTGATTATGGTAATGATTTTAACTAAAGTGTCAGTACCAAAGAACACACACACACACACACACACACACACACACACACACCCCCCACAGTCTCTGAATATTTTTTTTCTGAAGTAAACTTTGATGACATACAATGAAGCAGTTTATGATGTATGAAATCGTTACAATCAGGTGATTGCTTTCCTCACAAATCCTATGATAAATACCTATAAAATGAATGTTTTCATAAATTGTGTTGAAAAACTAGTGCTATCCATCTGGCAAAGATACACTTAACTCCAAGTTATACTTAAAAAGCCAACATACTTACCATATGTCTCAATAATTTTAAGGTAAAATCTACTTGAAACAAGATGTCTGGGACACATACACCATATTCATTTGCCCAAAAGTTCATCTGTTAACCATTGTTCTGGCACAGAGCATTGCTTTTGTAAAATAGAAACTAACTCTTTTATAAAGCTCAACTTTTTTTTTCTGTAAAAGATTGCTCAATGGTGATAAGTCTTAATCTCCTTAAAGTTTAAATTGTCTCCAACACATAATATTACGAAAAAATATTCCAGGAAAAACTCTAATTGTAGTTTACTTTGTTTATACATGTAAATCACTGAACAGATGAATATATTATTCCATGCAGACAAAGCGACTTTCCTTTTGAACAGGAACTCTGCTCTATTTGTTTACTTGGGCAATCTTTTATCAAGTAAAGTCATTTCATAATCCAATTCAGCTCTTTTGTGTACTTTGGTGAACTTATTCCAGATTCTCTACTGTGATCCAGATCCTTATAACAAAATTTGTATTGCTATAAGATCACTATAAAATCACAAAACCTATACCAACAAAGAGGGTGAATTTATAGAGAAGGTATGTTCTAAAGCTTTGTTTTCCAAATTCTAGATTTGAATTCAATCCTATTGCCATTTTGACATAATATAAAGGTTGGATGTTCATGTATATATGTGGGTAATTTTATCATAATTTTTAACCCAGTCAACATCTTGAACTTACTGAGTAAAAGTATATGAACTGTTCCTTCTTGCCTTTCAGGAGTACTGAGAATACAAATCGAGTAATGTATGTGAAAAAAAAAGCCTTATATTGCTTGGAAAGTCAGTCTTTAAGTTTAGGTTATCATTATTATGGAAGGACAAAGCCTTATTTGGTGATATCAATGGTGCAGGGTGGGGGGTGGGGGGGCGCAATGCCTGCCAGAGTCACTATGATCAAGACTTTTGTCTGAGAGAAGACAGTAGTCAGATTGAGTTCTTTTGCCCCTGGATGTTCTGCCATATCTTCCTGCTCCTCTTCAGATACTGAACTAGCAAGTAGTACATAAACCTCTACAGTTATGTGGTTAAGTAAATGGAAATCAGGGTAGTGGAAGTAATAATTTTTGTAAGAACCAGAATACAGAATTTTAAAAGAGGAGACTAAGGGGGAAAATGAAGTTGGCATGCAAAATAAATACGTTATATGAGAATCATATATAAAGAAATATGGTATATTTGTTTACTCTGTTCATGAAATGGGAATGATTCAGGGAGAAAGGCTTTTCCTCCTCTCCTCTTTCCTCTTTCCTCTGTCTCTCTTTCTTTAATAATTATTTCTCCAAAGGAAAATTTCTGAGTTGCTTTGAAGAAAGGTCCAAGCTATTTTGTGGTTTGATTACTAGAATTTCATTCACCATGTTGTTTTTTAGAATGGAATGCTTTTACCTGATTAAAAAAATCTACAAATTGATCTACATATTTGAGAGACTGGCCAAGTCTAATTATAATAAAAATTATGCTATAATTTCTGCATTAAAATTTTTAATGCTTTATATATAATTCATTTTAATGTCTTAGAGTTTGTTGTGCTGAAGCTGTTACTGCACCCTACTTTTTCTTGGTGCAAATGCATGCAATGCTTACCTTCACTGCTCTTTTTGGGGTTTCAGCCAAGATAGGTGGCAGAATTCCCTTGTAAAAACCAAACAACCTGTTTGAGAAATAAAAGATTTCCTATGAGTAAAGAAATTAAGAAACCCGTATTTCTGTCTTTGTTTAGATAAAGCAACTAATCCTAAAGTATTCCGGATCATTCAACATATCACACCAATCATGAAGTCTTCCTTTCATTCTAAATAAAGAAATAAATTCTATGTCTCTTAGCATTATGATATTCAGAAGGTGAATACGTGATACTGAGATGGGAATCCCTTAGATAAGTTGCTAAGCATGACCATTAGTTGTACCTTAACGATGAAGCTGACTTCCTTACTCTAAGGGCTCTTGAGTTTACTTCTCAGTTGTGTGGCAGGTAGCTTCAAGCTATCTACAGTCCTGCATTTCCTCCCTTGTGGTAACCAAACGAGGTTAGGATTATTCCTGAACCCATTAGACTGTACATTTCTGAGGCTAAGGAGGTGATAAAATTTTCAATTTTAGCTTTACTCATACAAGGGAACTAACAAGCTCTGTGGGTATGGTACTATGACTTCCAGCCCCGTCCTGAATTAGTCATAATTTTTAAGCTTCCTTAATGGAGGTGGAAGAAGGTCACAGAGGGCCGGCTATAGGAGTGTGTATTGCCAACAGATGAATTGTCAGACTCCCTTGCTGATATGCAAAATCACAGGGCATGAGCCAGTTTTCTTTGCCAATGTTGATGGGCAACATAGTCAGATATTTTTAGGAAAAAAGCAAGAACGAGTGACATATGATTAGATTTACAAGTCACCATTTATTTCTTATTATAGTTTTAGAATTCAAAATTTTAAATTCCTTTGTCTTGGAATCTTCATTATATATGCCATATCTTACTTCAAATCTTAAAATATATAAATAGAAGAGAATATTATGCATTATTCTCTGAGTAATCACTTTTCCTGATTAGTCCATAAGTGACTACAGAGAAGGGCAGAGCTCAACATGTCCCTAATTTAGGATATCCAGCTAACAAGGGGCTGCAGCCTCTCTGATTGACCCCCTCAAGCTTCACTCCAACTCCCTTAAACTAGGTCCACTTCTAGCTGTGCTTCTGGGAACAAGAAGTTGAGAATTTATTCAGGTGACCCCATTGTGCCACCCAAACCAACATGGCGAACTCTTGTTCTCCCTCAATTCACTGGCTTATACAGTACCTTTTGGTGAGGGGACTGAAGCACTTGCCTGCTTTACTCAATTCATGGGCTTACACAGAAACTTGAGGGCTGTGCACCTTTGGGGTTCTTATCACAAAACCCTTTTTTTTTTTTTTTTTTGAGACGGAGTCTCGCTCTGTCGCCCAGGCTGGAGTGCAGTGGCAGGATCTCAGCTCACTGCAAGCTCCGCCTCCTGGGTTTACGCCATTCTCCTGCCTCAGCCTCCCGAGTAGCTGGGACTACAGGCGCTCGCCACCTCACCCGGCTAGTTTTTTGTATTTTTTAGTGGAAACGGGGTTTCACCATGTTAGCCAGGATGGTCTCGATCTCCTGACCTCGTGATCCGCCCGTCTCGGCCTCCCAAAGTGCTGGGATTACAGGCTTGAGCCACTGCGCCCGGCCACAAAACCCTTTTTTTAATGTAACCAGGACACAAACATTTGTTAAGCTTATGGATGTCATAAAGAGGAATAAAGGGATCAAATGATTCCCTGATATGGGCTTACTCTGTCCACGATTTTTGACTTAATGGATAGTGCTAGCATTAGGAATAGGAAGTAAATCAGATATGTGATTTGGAGAGCTATGGCAATTCATGAGTTGTCCCCACCCCTTTTCCATTCCAATTTGAACTACTGATGCCTGAAATTCTCACATCAACACAAATTTCTTCTAGCAACTAATAACATTTAAATACTTTTCTCATTTAAATTTCATTATAATCACTATGTAATTTTTGGCATAAAGAGTGACTAAGCATAGGTTGGTTTTCCCAAAACATAAACGTGATTTTCCTGAACAGAAGTTCTATATATATAATGAAAACTGTTATTATTTCTGTTCTTTTTGTTTGATCTTTCCCCATCTGGAAGACTATGCCTGATTATTGTAGGAAAAAAAATAAAGAGAAACACTCACATAAGTAAAGCTTTTAAAACAGAGTGTCCAGATCAACAGAGGAACTTGAAATCCCACACTACAGAGAACAGTTATAGGAAGAACAGTTGCTTCAACTGGAGAAGAATGATCTTAGGGAGAAATCTGGTGAATGTGATGGATCTTTTGAATGGTGTGTGTGAAGGAAAGATATTACACTTTTCTCTTTGTTTCCAGGTGGTAGAACTTCCAACAGGTGGAAGCAACAAGAAAAGACACATATTTGGCCCAGGTGGAGCTTAACACAATGAAGTACTTCTAATAGTCAGAACTGTCTAAACATAGAATGGGCTCTCCTGAAAAGTGGTGAGTTCCCCTTTGGTATGTGATCAAGCAGTCTGGATGGCCACTTGTCATGAATACCAGTGACTGGGAGGTACACGGAAAATCCATGCATTTGATGACCCTCAAGTCTGGTCTGTTTCAATCCTCAGATTCTGTTATTCTGAGAAAAAGTACAAGAAGACATGGGCAAGCACTTCTCTGAAGAGAGAGAATCTGCCATACTTTAGACTTTTGCATCAAATCTTACATGGCTTCTCTGGAAGAGGACTAAAGTCTTATAAGTACACAGAAGGTCCTCATTTTAAAAGTGATGGGGGAAAATATTAAAAAGAGGTGTGATGCAGGAGAGAAGAGGCAGCTGGGAGAAGCATAAGGATTTAATATGAAAAGAGCTGGGAGGTCCAGAGCCCTCTGCTTTGTATTGATGATGCTTCATTGATGTGCCCTCCTTCCCTTCTCTCTGCTCAGCTACTTTCATGTGTGATCGTTCCCCTCCTCCCATACCACCATCCTGAGCTTCCAAACTGAGAATGAGCAATTTTAACAAGAAGTTCTCAAAGACAATAGGCAGCCTTTGTTGGTAAATGGAAGCTAGGACTACCTACCTCCTTGCATTGCTTTTACCTTATATCCATGCAATACAGGACATCTATGGAACAGTCAGGTCAGCACTGCTTCTGCTTAGGACAGCCCCATCAAGTTGTTTTAATCACGTTAGTACAATATGATACTACTTATAGGCAGGGGTTGACTGAGCGCCTCACCCAGATGGGTTCAAATGGCATTCTACTTCTTTGCCTGAGTTAATTTGATCCAAGCTAGACCTAGCCTAGGATTTTGGAAATGGAACAGGATCAGTCTTGCTCTGTTTGGTGAAAACTGTAACATAGAAATCTAGGATTTCAGTGGCAGTCATGCTTTCAGTCATTTGGAGAAAGTCAATCTACAGTGATAAAAAAGAAAGAAGCCACCGTTTAGGGAGGCACAGAAGCAAGAAGGAGAAGCTCTGGTTCTGTGAGTGTGGCCCTGCTTCCAGAATTCTTTAAGCCTAATTACATCTTGGCCTTTCTTGAATATTGGTATTTACCTCTGCCTTTGATTCTATGAGATGCTCAGTAACATTTCCAGTAAATTCTTTTTTACCTAAATAAGTTTGAGTTGCATTCATTATTTATAACCCAGAGCCCTTGATCCAGAACGTAAGCATCATAGCCCCTCTAGCCAAAGTGGCTGCTGTAGAACCTCCACGCCGTGTCCAATCATAGGAAGACCTTCACTCTCAGTTAAAATTGGCCCTTGAGCCGACCAGAAGAGTCATATATAAAATGCGGGTAAGAGCATGTAGCTAAGGGCTCAAGCTGATAGCTATTCTTGACTAGATAATTATTGAAAGTTTTCCCAATGCAAAATATTATATGACATTTCTAAAAACCAAAAAGGAGTTGTGATGTTTTATGAAGCAGATACTTTTTTTTTTTTCCTGCAAAATAACTGATGTTTATATTCACATGCACTGTCCATTCTGCCTTCATGTGGTTTTGGCTTGCTGTGCAGAGCCTACAACTTACCAGGACCATAATCCAGGAAGTTAAGAGATTGGTGACACCCATTGTTAACATGTGTCATCCCGCTTACGTCACAAGCAGCCAAGAGCTGCTTTCAGTCTACTTGCTGGATGAATGGATTGTGGGATTCTAAACGTTTATGTAGCAGCAAAGGCAGTTCTCTCTGACATGACAACAAAGGCACCACTCTACTCTAAAGTTTTGACTCACATGGAGCCGTTGATACTTCTAAAAGGTGCGAGTTTGATTTTAACTAGCCTATGTAAAAAAGTATTATCTTGTATGTTTATGGATTTTTGTAAATATTATTGTAAGTAAAAATAGACAAATCTGTTGAAAGTTTAGTATGTAATAGCCTTTGTGTTAAGAATAAAAACATGTAGGTATATGTACACATAGTAATCTCAATCAACTTTCACAACAATTCTTTAAAATATTTATAATTATTTTTCTCATTTTGCTGGTGAGGACTACTGTCATGTCAATGCCAAATAAGATACAGCAACATAAATCAAGTTCTTTTATGTCCTTGACCACTAGGCTATACAGTATAGCTTTTTTTTTTAAAAAAAAGAAAAAAACAACTATTTTAATAAAAGCTTTTGAAAAATTATTTATGTTGCAACAATACCTTGTCATTTCTTATTTTAGAAGGAAGCAGAAAACGCCATGAAAAACAGGTCTCTGTTCCAATTTCTACTCAATTCTATTTTAAAGTAATATGAAATACTATATAACTGATAGAACTGGTTTAAGATGAATAAGATCATTTTTGTGAAAATTGTTGGTTGTTTTAGAATGAGAAAAAAATGAACCATAGGATAAACTTTTTCCTCCTCAAGCCAGACTTTTGCCCTTAAGAGGCACACCAGGAGGCTGGGCTCAGTAGCTCACATCTGTAATCCCAGCAGCTCAGGAAGCCTAGGTGGGTGGATCACTTGAGGTCAGGAGTTCGAGACCAGCCTGATTAACATGGTGAAACCCCTTCTCTACTAAAAATACAAAAATTAACCAGGTGTGGTAGTGCATGCATATAGTCCCAGCTACTCGGGAGGCTGAGGCAGGAGAAT